GTCTCTCCTTTTCTTATCTCACTCTCTGTCTCTTTCTATTTCCCCTATGTTTCTGTCTTTCTCTCTCTATATAGCCCCTCTATCTCTTCTCTCTCTTCCCTCTAGCTCCCATCTCTATTTCACTTCTACCTCCCTCTCTATCCCCCCTCTGCCTTCCTCTCTATCCCCCCTCTGCCTTCCTCTCTATCCCCCCCTCTGCCTTCCTCTCTATCCCCCCTATACCTCCCTCTCTATCCCCCCTATACCTCCCTCTCTATCCCCCCTCTGCCTCCCTCTCTATCTCCCCTCTGCCTTCCTCTCTATCCCCCCTCTGCCTTCCTCTCTATCCCCCCTCTGCCTTCTCTCTATCCCCCCTCTGCCTTCCTCTCTATCCCCCCTCTGCCTTCCTCTCTATCTCTTTCCTCTCTATCCCCCCTCTGCCTTCCACTCCTTATTCCCCCCCTGCCTCCCTCTTTATCTCCCCTCTACCTCTAACTTTATCTCCCCTCTGCCTCCCTCTCTATCTCCCCTCTGCCTCCCTCTCTATCTCCCCTCTCTGCCTCCCTCTCTATCTCCCCTCTGCCTCCCTCTCTATCTCCCCTCTGCCTACCTATCTATCTCCCCTCTGCCTCCCTCTCTATCTCCCCTCTGCCTCCCTCTTTATCCCCCCCTCTTCCTCCTGCTCCACCCCCCTCCTCTGTCTCCATCTTTACCTCCCTCTTTATCCCCCCTCTGCCTCCCTCCCTATCTCCACTCTGCCTCCCTCTTTATCCCCCCGATGCCTTACTCTTTATCCCCCCCTCTACCTCCCTCTCTACCCACCCCCCCCTTCCACCCTCTCTATCCCCCCTCCGTCCCTCTCTATCCTCTCTGACCTCCTCTCTATCCCCATTCTCTCTCCCTCTCTATCCCCCTCTGCCTCCCTGTACTTCCCCCTCTGCCTCCCTCTATCCCCCCCCTCTGCCCCTCTATCCCCCCCTCTGCCTCACTCTATCTCCCCCCTGCCTCCCTCTTACCCCCCCCCCCCCGCCTCACTCTTTATGCCTCCCCTCTGCCTCCCTCTATCCCCCCCTCTGCCTCACTCTTTATCCCTCCCCTCTATCCCCCCCTCTGCCTCCCTCTTTATCCCTCCCCTTTCTCTCCTTTGTCTCCTACAGTATCTCCTTTCTGTGTTCCCCCCTCTCCTTCCCTATCTCCCCTTATCTCTCTTTTTTGTACCCCCTCTCTCTCTCCATCTACCCCCCCCCCTCTCTTAGGCAGGACCCATATTATTGTATATGATAAGTCAGAATATAGGAGGAGGTAGGTACAGGTACCCCAAATGAACACAACAGAAGATATTTATGAGCCTAGTGTGTATTGTAATGGGTGGTAATCCTCGTAGGGACTGCATTGTGTGTGACTGCACCTCCCATACACAGTGAGCCCCTCCATTCATGTGAGGTTGTCATTGAGTCTTCTTCCTCCCCACTTTGGCTTGGCGTCTGTGTGCTGTGTCCCGGGTAATAGGCCTCCTCTTCTGTCATCACATAATGGTCAGTTAGCATCTGCTGTCAGCAGTCACAGACAGACGTCAGCTTCTGTCCTCCCCGGGGAACTGACCTGAGCTCAGATAATGTGTCATTACAATGTCCAGGTATGTGTGTGAGGGAATCCCACCCGCGAGCCGGATGGGAATCCCAAACAACGCGCTCACATTGGCTGCTGACAGACGAGATGAAGAGAACACATTCATATTTGTCCTCCCTCAATCTGCCAAACTACCAGCCAAAATCTGTTCTCCCACTGTGCTACAATGTCAGCTGAGGTTAGAGAAGACAATGATAACTGTCCTTTTCCTCCGACATCCTAAATATTCCACGTTTACCTGTATATACACCTGACCCCCCCCCCCCCCCTTCATACTACACACCTGTATATTTATTATTATATACACTATAATGCCAAACGTATTGGCCCCGCCCTCCAAATCATGTGATTCAGGTGTTCCAATCCCCTCCATGGACACAGGTGTATACAATCAAGCCCCTAGGCATGCAGACTGCTTCTACAAACATTGGTGAAAGAATGGGTCGCTCTCAGGAGCTCAGTGACTCCAAGCGTGGTCCCGTGATAGGTGGCCACCTGGGCAATAAGTCCATCCGTGACATTTCCTGGCTACTAAATATTCCACGCTCAACTGTTAGTGGGATTATAACAAAGTGGAAGCAACTGGGAACAACAGCCACTCAGCCACCAAGTGGTAGGCCACGTCACATGACAGAGCGGGGTCAGCGCATGCTGAAGCGCACAGTGCGCAGAAGTCGCCAACTGTCTGCAGAGTCAATAGCTAAAAACCTCCAAACTTGGTGTGGCCTTCAGATGAGCCCAACAACAGTGCGTAGAGAGCTTCATGGAATGGGTTTCCATGGCCGAGCAGCTGCATCCAAGCCTTCCATCACCAAGTGCAATGCAAAGCATCGGATACCGTGGTGTAAAGCACGCCGCCACTGGACTCTAGAGCAGAGGAGACGTGTTCTCTGGAGTGACCAATCATGCTTCTCTGTCTGGCAATCTGATGGATGTGTCTGGGTTTGGCAGTTACCAGGAGAACGGTACTTGCCTGACTGTAGTGTGCCAAGTGTAAAGTTTGGTGGGAGGGGGATTATGGTGTGGGGTTGTTTTTCAGGGGTTGGGCTTGGCCGCCTAGTTCCAGTGAAGGGAACTCTTAAGACATCAGCATACCAAGACATTTTGGACGATTTCATGCTCTGAACTTTGTGGGAAGAGTTTGGGGATGACCCCTTCCTGTTCCAACATGACTGCGCACCAGTGCACAAAGCAAGGTCCATAAAGACATGGAGGAGCCAGTTTGGGGTGGAGGAACTTGACTGGCCTGCACAGAGTCCTGACCTCAACCCCATAGAACACCTTTGGGATGAATTAGAGCGGAGACTGCGAGCCAGGCCTCCTCCCCCGACATCAGTGCCTGACCTGACAAATGTGCTTCTGGAAGAATGGTCCAACCTTCCCATAGACACCCTCCTAAACCTTGTGGATGGCCTTCCCAGAAGAGTTGAAGCTGTTATAGCTGCAAAGGGCGGGGCCAACTCAATATTGAACCCTACGGACTAAGACTGGGAGGCCATTAAAGTTCATGTGCGTGGAAAGACAGGTGTCCAAATACTTTTGGCAATATAGTGTATACACCTGACCTGCCCCTTTCATACTACACACCTATAGATTTAATATTATATATACACCTGACCTGCCCTCTCTGTACTACACACTTGTGTTTCTATGTTTTAGAACATACCGTATACACCTGAGCTGTCCCCTCCAACTGTGGATGGGGTAGGAGGCTGGTCTGTGGATAGGGTAGGAAAGGTGGTTCTAGGAATAGAAAAGGAAAGCTAGGTCTGTGGATGGGAGAAAGGTCGAATCTGTGGATAGGAAAGGAAAGGAGATTCTGTGGATAGGAGAGGGAAGGTGGGTCTATGGATAGGAGTGGAAAGGTGGTCTGTGGGTGGAAGTGAAAAGGTGGGTCTGTGGATGGAGAGGAAAGGCAGGTTTATGGATAGAAGAGGAAAGGAGGGTCTGTGAATAGGAGAGGAAAGGTAGGTCTGTGGATAGGAGAGGAAAGGTGGGTCTGTGGATGGGCTGGAAAGGCGGGTCTGTGGGTAGGAAAGGAAAGGCTGGTCTGTGGATGGGAAAAGGTTGGTCTGTGGGGAGGAAAGGTTGGTCTGTGGATGGGGAGGAAAAAGGTTGGTCTGTGGATGGGGAGGAAAGGTTGGTCTGTGAATAGGAGAGGAAAGGTTGGTCTGTGGATGGGAGAGGAAAGGTTGGTCTGTGGATGGGGAGGAAAAGGTTGGTCTGTGGATGGGGAGAAAGGTTGGTCTGGAATAGGAGAGGAAAGTTGGTCTGTGGATGGGGGGAAAGGTTGGTCTGTGGATGGGGAGGAAAGGGTTGTGTCTGTGGATGGGGAGGAAAGGTTGGTCTGTGGATGGGGAGGAAAGGTTGGTCTGTGAATAGGAGAGGAAAGGTTGGTCTGTGGATGGGAAGGAAAGGAGGGTCTGTGAATAGGAGAGGAAAGGAGGGTCTGTGGATGGGGGGGAAAGGTGGTCTGTGGATGGGAAGGAAAGGAGGGTCTGTGAATAGGAGAGGAAAGGAGGGTTCTGTGGATGGGGGGGAAAGGTTGGTCTGTGGATGGGGTGGAAAGGTTGGTCTGTGGATGGGGGGGAAAGGTTGGTCTGTGGATGGGGAGGAAAGGTTGGTCTGTGGATAGGAGATGGAAGGTGGGTCTATGAATGAAGAGGGTGGGTCTTTGGAGAGGAGAGGAGAGGTAGGTGTATAGATAGGAGAGAGAGGAGAGGAGAGGTAGGTGTATAGATAGGAGGAGAGGAGAGGTAGGTCTTTGAATAGAAGAGCAAATGTAGGTCTGTGGATGGGGAGGAAATACAATTCTGTGGAAGAGGGAGAAGAGTGGTTCTGAAGGTGGGAAGGGGAAGGCGGGTTTGTGGATAGGACAAGTTGGTCTGTGAATGGGGGAGGTAATGTTGTCTTGGTAATCTTCTACTATTCACCTGCCACCTGCCCTGATCTATGCAGTGGCTCTGCCTGAGCACTTCCTGACCTGTCTATAGTTCCTTTCTCGACCACTCTTTTGCCAGTCAGTTCAGTACTTCAGTCATCTATCAGTATCTGTATATCAATAGTCCAAAATGGAGCAAACCTGAGGGAGATTCACACAGCAAAGCGCAATCCTCCTTGTGGGACCGCTGGGCACAGGACTGGGCACGGGGGGATCATGGTACTGGCTGGTAGGGCAGGGAGTGTACACGGAACACACTGTTATCAAGGCCAAGAACGGACTTGTGTCCAGGGGCGGACTGACCATTTGGAAACTTGGGCACTGCCCGAGGGCCCGAGGTCAGTAGGGGGCCCCATGAGATGCCCCTGGTACCTTTTTCATAGGCTTTTGAGTTAGGGCAAGGACACAGGGGCCCCATGATCCCCTATTGCCCGGGGGCCCCATGAGTTGTCAGTCCGCCCCTGCTTGTGTCCATCCAATTCCTCCTTACAGCTCCTGCAGTTTTTGGTCCAAAGGAGGCCGAATAAAACCCTCTTGAGGCAAAATGTGGCCAGTTTTGCCTCCCATAGCAAAAAAAAAATATCCTTTCCCGATCCCCAAATTATATTTAGATTAATTTCCAGGATCTAACTATGAGGATGGTGATTAGTTGCTAGGACGATTAGTTGCTAGGACGATTAGTTGCTAGGACAATTAGTTGCTAGGACGATTAGTTGCTAGGACAATCATCCAGCTCTTCTCTGGCAATTTCTGTATTGAGTTTGCTATCACGCCTCATAAGGTAATCGTTCAGCTTGGCAGCCCCTCTCCTGGGATCTTTCCAGGATTGTCACATCCATAGTGTCACCTTCACCTACAACCGATGTCTCCACAGGTGAGGATTGCACTCTTCTGCTCTGATGGACTCTCCTTTCCTCAGGATGAAGCCAACTTTTCTCCTCTGCCCATAGACAGCTGGACAGCCGGCCGGCCCTTCCACTGTAGGCAGGTACGGGAACACGGATTGACATGTGTGTGGATGCAGTGACTGCCGTGTGTTCTTGAGTGTGGTATATTGCACTGTGTATTGCAGCATGGTACAGTATGTCATGTAGCGCTCATTTAATTATATAGATAGGTGTGTGTTGCAGTGTGGCTACCATGAAGAGTGAGGCGCAGTGTATATTTCATGGTAGCACAGTGTGTTAGGCAGTGTATGTTGCATTCGGGTGTAATGAGTAGTGTGTGTGGCAGTATATGTACAGTGTGGTACGGTCTGTTGTGCAGTTGGTGTTGCAGTGATGTGTACTGATAAGTGTGTATTACAGTGTGGTGCAGTGTACTGTGTGGTGTGTTTCATTGTACCATGCAGAGTATGTTGCAGTCTGGTGCAGTGTACCATGAGGTGTGTATTACAGTGTGGCACAGTGTACCATGCGGTTTGTTGCAGTGTGTCACAGTGCACCATGCGGTACGTATTACAGTGTGCCATGCGGTGTGTGTTGCAGTGTGTGTCACAGTGTACCATGCAGTGTGTCACAGTGTACCATGTGGTATGTGTATTACAATGTACCATGCGGTGTGTTGCAGTGTGTCACAGTGTACCATGCAGTGTGTTACAGTGTACCATGCGGTGTGTATTACAGTGTGGCCCAGTGTACCATGCGGTATATTGCAGTGTACCATGTGTCACAGTGTGTCACAGTGTACCATGCGGTATGTATTACAGTGTACCATGTGGTATGTATTACAGTGTACCATGTGGTATGTGTTACAGTGTACCATGTGGTATGTATTACAGTGTACCATGTGGTATGTGTCACAGTGTACCATGTGGTATGTATTACAGTGTGTCACAGTGTACCATGCGGTATGTATTACAGTGTACCATGTGGTATGAATTACAGTGTACCATGCCATGTGGTATGTGTATACAGTGTACCATGCGGTATGTATTACAGTGTGGCCCAGTGTACCATGCGGTATATTGCAGTGTGTCACAGTGTACCATGCGGTATATTGCAGTGTGTCACAGTGTACCATGTGGTATGTGTTACAGTGTACCATGTGGTATGTATTACATTGTGGCCCAGTGTACCATGCAGGGAGTGTGTCAGCGTGGCACAGTAAACTATGTGGTGCATGTTGCAGTGTATTATGCAGTGTGTGTTCCATTGTACCATGTAAGTGTACAATCTAAATGCACACGTTGCTGCGTTACAAAATGGCGGTGTGTATAAGTGGGTGCTGCAGCAACCTTCGGTTGGAACCAAACAGAATCAGCGAAGGAGAATGTCACCAGCACACCGAGGATCACCAATACAGGTCCAAACGTTTTAATGAACGATCCCATAGTTACAGTAAGGCAAAGTTTCATAGTCTCACAGAACCCCTTCACCATCACATGCCTGATGAAGGGGTTCTGCAAGACTGTGAAACGTTGCCTTGCTGTAACTATGGGATCGTTCATTAAAACATTTGGACCCGTATTGGTGATCCTCGGTGTGCTGGTGACGTTCTCCATTGTACCATGTGGTATGTGTGTTGCATAGGTTAACATGTGGTGCGTGTTGTAGTGTACTGTGCGTCGTGTGTTGCATTGCACCATGTGGTATGTGTGTGTTGCATAGGTGAACATGTGGTGCGTGTTGTAGTGTACTGTGCGTCGTGTGTTGCATTGCACCATGTAGTGTGTGTGTTGCATAGGTGAACATGTGGTGCGTGTTGTAGTGTACTGTGCGTCGTGTGTTGCATTGCACCATGTAGTGTGTGTGTTGCATAGGTTAAACATGTGGTGCGTGTTGTAGCGTACTGTGCGTTGTGTGTTGCATTTTACCCTGTGGTGTGTGTGTTGCATAGGTGAACATGTGGTGCGTGTTGTAGTGTACTGTGCGTCGTGTGTTGCATTGCACCATGTAGTGTGTGTGTTGCATAGGTTAACATGTGGTGCGTGTTGTAGTGTACTGTGCGTCGTGTGTTGCATTGCACCATGTGGTATGTGTGGCAGTAACATCACACTGTTGCTCTTCCTGTAGCCCCTGCAGTGCTGACAATGCTCGGCTGCTCTCCAGTCCTGCTCTCCGCCTTGTGTTGGGTCTTATTCACGTACCGGACATCTGTGAAAGGTGAGACTTCTGTGCATTGTTGTCACACTTAGTGTGTCATCCTTATAATTAGCACTGGTCAACCACCCGTGATCAGGCAGTGCAGGATTCTAAATTCAGCACTGACCAATCACATGTGATAAGAGAACATAGACTAATCATTGTGTCCCCCACAGCTGACGAGTGCGCGGAACGTTGTGACCTGTACCACGGACACTGTGACGAGGAAGGAGTGTGCAGGTGAGGCCTCAGATTTTACTAATAGGAATTCAAATATGTCACCTTCCACCATTTTCATATTGTCTATTTATAAGGTGGCCCCATGGAATGGATATAGTACCCGCTCCCTTTGTAGGATCGGCAAAGGATTATAGGAAGCTTCCAGTGGGCATTGTATTGGCAAAGGATTATAGGAAGCTTCCAGTGGGCACTGTATTGGCAAAGGATTATAGGAAGCTTCCAGTGGGCACTGTATTGGCAAAGGATTATAGGAAGCTTCCAGTGGGCACTAGATTGGCAAAGGATTATAGGAAGCTTCCAGTGGGCACTAGATTGGCAAAGGATTATAGGAAGCTTCCAGTGGGCACTGTATTGGCAAAGGATTATAGGAAGCTTCCAGTGGGCACTAGATTGGCAAAGGATTATAGGAAGCTTCCAGTGGGCACTAGATTGGCAAAGGATTATAGGAAGCTTCCAGTGGGCACTAGATTGGCAAAGGATTATAGGAAGCTTCCAGTGGGCACTAGATTGGCAAAGGATTATAGGAAGCTTCCAGTGGGCACTACCTTGGCAAAGGATTATAGGAAGCTTCCAGTGGGCACTAGGGCAAAGGATTATAGGAAGCTTCCAGTGGGCACTGTATTGGCAAAGGATTATAGGAAGCTTCCAGTGGGCACTGTATTGGCAAAGGATTATAGGAAGCTTCCAGTGGGCACTGTATTGGCAAAGGATTATAGGAAGCTTCCAGTGGGCACTAGATTGGCAAAGGATTATAGGAAGCTTCCAGTGGGCACTACATTGGCAAAGGATTATAGGAAGCTTCCAGTGGGCACTACATTGGCAAAGGATTATAGGAAGCTTCCAGTGGGTACTGTATTGGCAAAGGAATATAGGAAGCTTCCAGTGGGCACTACATTGGCAAAGGATTATAGGAAGCTTCCAGTGGGCACTGATTGGCAAAGGATTATAGGAAGCTTCCAGTGGGCACTAGATTGGCAAAGGATTATAGGAAGCTGCCAGTGGGCACTACCTTGGCAAAGGATTATAGGAAGCTTCCAGTGGGCACTGTACCTTGGCAAAGGATTATAGGAAGCTTCCAGTGGGCACTGTATTGGCAAAGGATTATAGGAAGCTTCCAGTGGGCACTAGTATTGGCAAAGGATTATAGGAAGCTTCCAGTGGGCACTAGATTGGCAAAGGATTATAGGAAGCTTCCAGTGGGCACTACATTGGCAAAGGATTATAGGAAGCTTCCAGTGGGCACTACATTGGCAAAGGATTATATGAAGCTTCCAGTGGGTACTGTATTGGCAAAGGAATATAGGAAGCTTCCAGTGGGCACTACATTGGCAAAGGATTATAGGAAGCTTCCAGTGGGGACTACATTGACAAAGGATTATAGGCAGCTTCCAGTGGGCACTGTATTGACAAAGGATTATAGGAAGCTTCCAGTGGGCACTAGATTGGCAAAGGATTATAGGTAGCTTCCAGTGGGCACTACCTTGCAAAGGATTATAGGAAGCTTCCAGTGGGTACTACCTTGGCAAAGGATTATAGGCAGCTTCCAGTGGGTACTGTATTGGCAAAGGATTATAGGAAGCTTCCAGTGGGCACTGTATTGGCAAAGGATTATAGGAAGCTTCCAGTGGGTACTGTATTGGCAAAGGATTATAGGAAGCTTCCAGTGGGCACTGTATTGGCAAAGGATTATAGGAAGGTTCCAGTGGGCACTACCTTGGCAAAGGATTATAGGAAGCTTCCAGTGGGCACTACCTTGGCAAAGGATTATAGGAAGCTTCCAGTGGGCACTGTTGGCAAAGGATTATAGGAAGCTTCCAGTGGGCACTGTATTGGCAAAGGATTATAGAAAGCTTCCAGTGGGCTCTGTATTGGCAAAAGATTATAGGAAGGTTCCAGACAGATTTTCCTGTGTATGATGGATTTTAGAGTCCGAGACTCCTCAGAATGTGATTTGACCCTGGAATGATCCTTTCTGACCTCTCTCAGGTGTGACCCTGGCTGGGACGGCACATACTGTGAAGACTGTGTGAGGATGCCGGGCTGCGTTCATGGGGTGTGCCACCAACCTTGGCAGTGCATGTGCCAGAGCGGCTGGGCAGGCAATTTCTGTGACAAAGGTGAGCAGAGTATCTATTTGGTCATTTTCTTAGACTGAAAGCTGGAATACTCAGCAATCTAAAGGGGTCACTTTCAGTCTCCAAACTCCCATCCTGCTGGTTGAGTGAAGGGTAATGTAATTGCTACAACATACAAAGACATTTTAGACAATTGTGCTCTTCTGACCTTGAGGTGACAGTTTGGGGAAGATCATTTTTTTGCTCCAGCATGACTGTTCCCCTGTGTACAAAGCCATCTCCATAAAGACATGGTTCAATGTGTTTGGTGTGGAGGAACTCAAATGGCCTTCATAGAGCCTCAACCCTACTGATCACCTTTGGGATGAATTGGAAACAAGTTTTCTTGTCCAGCATCACTTACTAACCTAACAAACGGGCACAAATTTCTCATAAATCTTGAGGAAAGTCTTCCTAGAAGAATTATTTCCAATAAAGGATTTCATCCACCACATTGCTGTTTGTGGGGCCAACCATTCTGTTTTTCCACTAGAAGAATGGGGGTCATTATAGGCACAAAGGTGGGCAACTCCATATTAATGATCATGGTTTTTGGAATGGGATGTCCAACAAGATTCACACTTTTGCCCACAAATTGTATCAGCATGAAACAAGGTGATTGCCCACAGTTTCCCTTGCAGACTTTTTGGACCATTCAGTAAGCCCGAGTGTCTTTATCTCCGTAAGATGGTTGATCTCATTACAGCTCCGAGTCCCGCCTCTCGAGTGTAGACATCGGCCCCGCTTCCCCCAATGTCTACACCCGAGAGGTGGGTCAGAGGCGGGACTCGAAGCTGTAATGAGATCAACCATCTGATGAATGAGTATTATCGTTATGCTGCTGAATTTTCCACATCCATTGATATTTGAAAGATATGCTGGTTAATCACCAGTAACTGGTGAGTTAGCACTTTGATGGGGTGTTGAGCACGGATATATTCACGGTTCAGGGGGCGGACTGACCATTTGGAAACTCGGGCACTGCCCGAGGGCCCAGGGTCAGTAGGGGGCCCCATTAGATGCCCCTAGTACCTTTTTCATAGGCTTTTTTGAGTTTGGGCAAGGACACAGGGGCCCCATGATCCCCTATTGCCCGGGGGCCCCATGAGTTGTCAGTCTGCCCCTGTCACGGTTGTGGAGAAAATATCTTTATTGAAGAAAGATTACATATATATTTGGACTTCACTTAGTGGACTTTTCTGTCTGAATTAACCCCTTCACGCCGGCCGCGCACGCACGCACGCACGCAAAAAACATATGTGCTGAGAGCGCTCGCCCTGCGCGCTCCCAGCACACATGTGCAGTACTCACGGAAAGGTCCCGGTCCGCTCTTTCGATCGGGACCTTTCCTGATCATGTGACCGGCCGTGATGTCACGGCAGCCACATGACACTAACCCCCGTCCACCTCCCGGCACAGGGACGATCCGGCGTGAAGGGGTTAATTATATAATTTTTTTTTTGGCACATATTTGCACTTTATTTGGTGGCAGTTATGTTTTGATTTTTATTTTATTTTTTTTTATTCATTTTTTTAATATAATTTTTATATATGTTATTTATATTCATTTATACACTGGTTATATATAATTTGTGGTATATTAGAAAGTTGAGAGCGCTGTTTGTGGGATTTTCTATTTCACTTTATATATTGTTTAATTATTTTGAAAATAGCAGCTCTAATTGAAATATTAATTTGAAATATCACATTCATGAGGCGCGGTGTTGTAGGCTCTTGGAAGTATTGATAGTTATATCATTACCAGGGGCGGACTGACCATTTGGAAACTCGGGCACTGCCCGAGGGCCCGGGGTCAGTAGGGGGCCCCATGAGATGCCCCTGGTACCTTTTTCATAGGCTTTTTTGAGTTTGGGCAAGGACACAGGGGCCCCATGATCCCCTATTGCCCGGGGGCCCCATGAGTTGTCAGTCCGCCCCTGATCATTACCATTCTTTTGCCTATATATTTAATATCTATAATAAATATATTGTTTTATTTAATTGTGTTGTGTTTTTTTAGGACGGTGCCTTTAAAGTCCCTTCTCTGATGAGGGTTTCTCCCCTTTTTTTCTTTCTTGGTCAGATTATTATGGAAAAAAACAAAAGAATTTGAACACAGAATCTGGGGTCAATGTTCTCACTATGCAGTCTGCATTGCAGACCAATGGATGTAACATTGTGTTCAGCTATAATGTTTTGATCATCGCTGTATATTGCAAATGTCTATTGTCATGTTCCCACTGCATAACCCTTTTTTCATAAAAAAGGAATATATTTATATATATATATATATAAAAAAAAAAAAAAAAAGGTACAACCTCAAATCTTCCAGTCTGCCATCACTACCCTATGTGGAGAGGATTCCCTGCTCTGCCTGTATAGAGGTGGTTTTAGGTTTTTATTATTGGTGAAAGATGCAGATTTCCTTCAGATCATGTAAGACTTTAATGATGAGCTCATTTTCTTTCCTCAGACCTCCACCTATGCGAAAACTCAGATCCCTGTCAGAATGGAGGCCAATGTGTCATCACTGCAGATGGAGAGTACACCTGTAACTGCCCAGAACCCTTCCATGGCAAAAACTGCGAGATGAAAAGAGGACCCTGCGAGGCGGAAGGGTACAAGATAATACCACAGGGGGGATGATGTGGGAATCAGCAGAATGCAGAGGCTCTAGAGAGCAAGTTAGATTTTGGTTGAAAGCACTGCCGGGCATGTGGTTGAGAGTCCAGCAGGGGCGGACTGACCATTTGGAAACTCGGCACTACTCGAGGGCCCAGGGTCAGTAGGGGGCCCCATGAGATGCCCCTGGTACCTTTTTCATAGGCTTTTTTGAGTTTGGCCAAGGACACAGGGGCCCCATGATCCCCTATTGCCCGGGGGCCCCATGAGTTGTCAGTCCGCCCCTGGAGTCCAGTATAAATTTTGTCATAAGGGTAAAAAAAAAAAAGAAAAAAGTGTTTCCGTGGGGAGTAACCAGGACTGCTAGGCCAGAGCGGGCCTTTAAATGAGAAGTAGGGCCAAAGCTTCTTTGGCCCTACATCTCCTATCCCACATGGAAGAGAAATATATTTAAAAAATATTCTCCCCAAATATATTGACATATATTTGAAATACTACAATTTTGGCCGTATTCAATATATTTCAATATATATTTCAATAAATATATATATTATGTATGTTGAAATGCGTTTTTATTACAAAATATATGAAAAATATTTAAAAAAATAAATTTTCAAATATACTGTATGTCTTTAAAAATACATTTAATCTAAATTTTTTTGGAATGCATTTACAAATATATGTAAAAAGAGATGTTAAAATTACTTTTTTTATATGTTAACAAAAATCTGAATAATAGATTTAAAAACATTTTTTTTTTTAAAATATTTTGTAATATATAAAAAATGCATTTCAACATGCAGTATATATATATATATATATATATATATATATATATATATATATATATATATATATATACACACACATACACATATATATACACACATATACATATATACACACACACACACACACACGTATATATATATATATATATATATATATATATATATATATATATATATATATATATATATGTGTGTGTATTGAAATATATTTTTCAATATATTGAATATGGCCAAAGTTGTAGTATTTCAAATATATTTTACTTCCAAATATTTTTTCAAATATACTGTATGTCTTTAAAAATACATTTAATCTAATTTTTTTGGAATGCATTTACAAATATATGTAAAAAGATATGTTAAAATTACTTTTTTTATATGTTAAAAAAAATCTGAATAATAGATTTAAAACATTTTTTTTTTTGTAATATTTTGTAATATATAAAAAAATGCATTTCAACATGCAGTATATATATATATATATATATACACTCACACACATATACATACACACATATACATATACACACACACACGTATATATATATATATATATATATATATATATATGTGTGTGTGTGTTTGAAATATATTTTTCAATATATTGAATATGGCCAAAGTTGTAGTATTTCAAATATATTTTTCTTCCATGTGGGATGGATCGCAGAATTACCTACCAAATGTGATCCAGTGCATGTAATAGCTGGAGGCACTTTAAGATAAATTGGAATTTTAACATAGAAAGACATCAGTAAGTTAAAAAAACAGATCTAAGGTTTGAGACTTTTCTCTCCCTATGGTCTGCGTTCAATTTAAAGGGTTCAGAGGGGTCATGTTCAACCACAATGGTTGGAAAGTGGCCACATTTGGCCACAAAGGGTGAATTGGGCCATCTTCAGTAGTGACGGGTTTCCCTATTCAGCCGTGAAGGATGAAATAGGACTGCATTCCACAATAAGGGATGGAGATGATCTGTAGTACTGAAAATAGCACTGTACAAATCTTTCTGGTTTGAGATCTCATTTGGCTGGTTCATACTTTATAGGAAAGTAATGGTATATGTTGGTGTTTGGAAGAGTTGGGTGTGGATGAACCCTCCAATATTCTCACTGGCGTACCATTTATTCCCCACACAGGTTTCCCTGTCTGAATGGCGGCACCTGCCAGGACAATAATGGATTTGCAGATGCATTCATTTGCCGCTGCTTGGCCGGATATGTCGGTCGACTGTGTGAGACAGATGTGGACGATTGCTTGATGAGGCCTTGTGCCAATGGAGCCACCTGCGTCGATGGGGTGAACCGCTTCTCATGCGAATGTCCTTATGGTTTCCAAGGTCGATTCTGCACAGTCAATATTAATGACTGCGTTGGGCAGCCATGCCAGAATGGAGGACGCTGCTTTGACCGTGTCGGGGACTACGAGTGTTACTGTGCTGAGGGATTTACCGGGAAATCCTGTGAGATCCCAATTCCCAGGTCTACATGGGACTACCAGGTTGTGACATCAGCAAAGGACCCCACTCCTCAGACGCTGCCAACAAGGACAGTTGGCACAAGCCGCTGGAGTCCCGTTTCCGTGGACAAAGCTGGACACTTCAAAATCTCAGTCAAGGAAGTGGTGACCCAACGGGAACATGGGCTGAGCGAACTGCAGATAATCATTGTCATCGTGTTTGGGGTCATCACTGGCCTTGTGGTTCTGCTCACTGTGGGTCTAGTCTTGTGGTACCGACTTCGGGCCACTGGTCAGCCAGGCTGGTGTAGTAACTCTTCAGCAGACACCAAAACCCACTATCAGCAGTGCCATGGGACTGCCCCAGAGAACCGGAAAACTACGGAGCTGTGACCTATCCATGTACAGAGATTTTTATTGTGACTATTCATTCAAAATGGACAGAAGGCCTGAGGTTGGCAATGGTGTCCTGATACCTTAGAAGTATGGCTCCAATGCCCACATCTCAGTTTGGATACACAGTGCATTTGGTGGATAAAGACTGCACAAGGCCTTTGTATAAAGGTGCCCATTGGGCCCAACTTCTGCCCTACATGTGCCTTGGCACTGGATTCATCTGTACTGGTATCATGTCACTATATAATGGCCGGGGCCATCAGCACTAAAAACGGGGGAAAGACCTGGCTAGCCAGGACAGGCCCTCATTGCAACCCTTTATATGAGTGCAGTTGTACATCTGGGTATGGGAGCTGATCGATGTAGACGATGTACCTGCGCTCTGGATGTGACCTAGGAACTACCTGCTTCGAATGGGAAGAATAACAGGATGTGAAATGTCCATAATGTCATCTGCTTGCCACATTTCTTACACAAAACGCTGGAGATTTCTGCCCTGTGGAGCACTCACGCTGAAGAGTTAAGAGTCAAGGATTCTGTGTTCTGTGCAATGTGGAGATGACTGCCATCGTACAATAGGAGAGGAGCGCTCCCTGGTGACCAGTTTATATTATACACCCTTTAAACATACCTCTGTGTACTAAGGACTATACATAACCGAAGCCTGGTGTGGATGTAATATGGAAAGTGCGCCCCCTGCAGACCAATATATAGTAAATACCCTGTAGACAAAATGTCTGGGAATGTTGTGTATAAGTATTAGAAGGGAAAAGGATGGAGTTGTCCTAATGTGCGAGGACTGTCCCCTGTGGCCCTGTCATGTACACATTTCCTAGTGCTCTCCAAAAGTTGCACTCTTGCTAGAAATATGAACAGTCTCTCCACGGACAGACATAGAAGGGTAATCTCTGCGGGGAGTGAGTCCTCTCCTATAGAATGACATGGACTGGTGACCTCTTTGCTGGGGGGGGGTCTCTTCCCAAAGACCAGGGGTCCCCAAACCTTATAAAAAAGGGCTAGTTTACTGTCCCTCAGACTTTAGAAGGGCAGGACTGTGAGCGGTGAGAGTAGAAAATGCCTCAGCGTCAGTGTGAGTAGACAATGTCTCAGGCTTGATGGTCAGTAGGAAGTCAGTGGGAGGAATATTGCACCATTGTTGGTGTCAGAAGGAGGAATAGTGCCCCATCGTTGGTATCAGAAGGAGGAATAAAGCTCCATAATGGTTGTTAGTGGAAGGAATGGTGCCCCATTGTTGGTTTCAGTGGGAGGAATAGTGCCCCATCATTGGTATCAGTGGGAGGAATAGTGCCCCATCATTGGTGTTAGTGGGAGGAATAGTGCCAATTTTTGGTGTCAGTGGGAGGAATAGTGCCCATTGTTGGTGTCAGTTGGAGGAATAGTGCCCATCGTTGGTGTCAGTTGGAGGAATAGTGCCCATCGTTGGTGTCAGTTGGAGGAATAAAGCCCTGTAATGGTTTTCAGTCGAAGGAATGGTGCCCCATTGTTGATGTCAGTGGGAGGAATAGTGCCCCATCGTTGGTGTCATTGAGAGGAATAAAGCCCCATAATGGTTTTCAGTGGAAGGAATGGTGCCTTACTGTTGGTTTCAGTGGGAGGAATAGTGCCCCATTGTTGGTGTCAGTGGGGGGAACAGTGCCCCATAATGGTTTTCAGTGGAAGGAATAGTGCCCCATTGTTGGTTTCAGTGGAAGGAATGGTGCCCCATCGTTGGTATCAGTGGGAAGAATAGTGCCCCATCATTGGTGTCAGGGGGAGGAATAATGCCCCATCATTGGTGTCAGTGGGAGGAATTTTGCCCATTGCTGGAGTCAGAGGGAGGAATAGCTCCCTATTGTTGGCATCAGGGGAAAAAATGGTGCGTCATTGTTGTTGTCAGTGAAAGGAATAGTAGCTGGTAGCAGTGGTAGAACAGTGTCCCAAGGGCCGTACAAAGGCAGACAAAGGGCTGCAGCTGGCCCATGGGCCACATTTTGGAGACCAGATGAGGAAAGGTTATCTCTCTGCAGCAGGGGATTCTGTCTGTAACAGACACAGTACAGTGAGTTTCTCCCCATAGATGGACATAGAAAAGTGATCTCTCTAACAGGAGTGAGTCTCTCTCTGAACATGATGCCCTTGTTAGGATTGAGTCTCACCCCTTAGACATGCCATGGTGATATCTCTGCCACGGGTTAGTCTCTCCCCATAGATGGACACTGAATGGTAATCCCTCTGTTGAGGCTGAATCTCTGATTGTAGACAGACTTGGAACAGTAATCTGCCAGGGGTGAGTCTCTCTTCACAGACGGATACCAAACGGCAATATCTGCCAGGGGTGAGTCTCTCTTCACAGACGGATACCAAACGGCAATATCTGCCGGGGTTGAGTCTCTCGCCATGGAGTGGTAAGCTCTCTGCTGAGGTGAGTCTCTTCCTGCAGACCAATGGTGGTCAACTTTCTTCATATGGAGGACCTCAAATGTGCTCCACATCACCAAAGGACCGCACATAAAATTCAGTGAATATTCAGTGTCAGAGACCGCAAACATACAACAATGACTATGGGCTTGATGCAAGAATGGTCAGAGACTATGGATGATACAAAAAAATGGTCAGAGGCTGCAAGCATGATACAGGAGATGGTCAGAGACTGCAAAAATGATACAAAAAATGGTCAGAGACTGCAAGATGATACAGGAGATGGTCAGAGACTGCAGACATGATACAGGAGATGGTCAAAGACTGCAGACATGATACAGAGATGGTCAAAGACTGCAGACATGATACAGGAGATGGTCAGAGACTGCAGACATGATACAGGAGATGGTCAAAGACTGCAGACATGATACAGGAGATGGTCAGAGACTACAAGCATGATACATGAGATGGTCAGAGGCTGCAGACATGATAAAAGAGATGGTCAGAGACTGAAGACATTATACAGGAGATGGTCAGAGGCTGCAAGCATGATACAGATGGTCAGAGACTGCAGACATGATACCAGAGATGGTCAGAGACTGCAGACATGATACAGGAGATGGTCAGAGACTGCAGACATGATACAGGAGATGGTCAGAGACTGCAGACATGATACAGGAGATGGTCGGAGACTGCAGACATGATACAGGAGATGGTCAGAGACTGCAGACATGATACCAGAGATGGTCGGAGACTGCAGACATGATACCGAGATGGTCAGAGACTGCAGACATGATACAGGAGATGGTCAGAGACTGCAGACATGATACAGGAGATGGTCAGAGACTGCAGACATGATACAGGAGATGGTCAAGACTGCAGACATGATACAGGAGATGGTCAGAGACTGCAGACATGATACAGGAGATGGTCGGAGACTGCAGACATGATACCGGAGATGGTCAGAGACTGCAGACATGATACAGGAGATGGTCAGAGACTGCAGACATGATACAGGAGATGGTCAGAGACTGCAGACATGATACAGGAGATGGTCAGAGACTGCAGACATGATACAGGAGATGGTCAGAGACTGCAGACATGATACAGGAGATGGTCAGAGACTGCAGACATGATACAGGAGATGGTCAGAGACTGCAGACATGATACAGGAGATGGTCGGAGACTGCAGACATGATACAGGAGATGGTCGGAGACTGCAGACATGATACAGGAGATGGTCGGAGACTGCAGACATGATACCGGAGATGGTCAGAGACTGCAGACATGATACAGGAGATGGTCAGAGACTGCAGACATGATACAGGATGGTCAGAGACTGCAGACATGATACAGGAGATGGTCAGAGACTGCAGACATGATACAGGAGATGGTCAGAGACTGCAGACATGATACAGGAGATGGTCAGAGACTGCAGACATGATACAGGAGATGGTCAGAGACTGCAGACATGATACAGGAGATGGTCAGAGACTGCAGACATGATACAGGAGATGGCCATAGACTGGAGACATATTACATGAAGCTGCTAGAAATCTAAGCTATAACAGAGCAATAGGGAAACACACATTAGAGTCTGCAGGGGCCCCACATAAAAGTGCCAAAGGGCCACATGCAGCCCTTGGGTGGCAGTTTGGGCACCAGGGCCGTAGACAGACACTGAATGGTGCCCATTGTGCCAGGGGTTATTTTCTCCCTGAAGATGGACCTGGAATGGTGATCTCTCTAGTAGGAGCGAGTCTCTTTGTAGACAGCCACAGAATGATGATCCCATTGCCAGGACTGAGTCTCTCCTTGTAGGTAGACATGTAATAGTGACGTCTCTGCCAGGGGTTAGGCTCTCCCCATAGACAGCTACTGAACGGTAATCTGTATGCCAATGGCCAATCTCTTGCTGTAGACAGGCATGGAACAGTAATCTATTTGCTGGGGGGGGGGTCCACATAGACGTACACTGAATGGAACAGAGATTACACAGCGAGGGTCCCCGCCACAGATCCCCGAAGGTCACACAGGGGGAACGCACCCACACAGGCTGTTATGGAGTGATGGAAATCTACAAAGTTGTATTTTTGGAAAACTCTAAAATCGGTCTGACAGTAATTATTAAAATATTTGTACTACAGCAGAGCCGTGTGCGTCAGTCTGTATGACTTCTCCTCAGGTCATGTATGTGTGATATGACAGCCTGGTATTATTACAAGACGGGGCAATGGGGACGGCCGTGTAATGTACTGCAACCAATCATAATATAGGTTACACAACGCATGCACACAGGAGACTGCTAATCACACACATCTCCCAGAATTCCCTGCACACAGGAGACTGCTAATCACGCACATCTCCCAGCAATCACGCACCCCCAGCATGCACACCGGAGACCCCCTAATAATACAGAACTCCCAGCATCCCCTGCACACAGGAGACTGCAAATCACGCACATCTCTCCCAGAATTCCCTGCACACAGGAGACTGCTAATCCCGCATATCTCCCAGAATTCCCTGCACACAGGAGACTGCTAATCACGCACATCTCCCAGAATTCCCTGCACACAGGA